TGATGTCTGTCAGTAAAGTATTCTACAGTTTCATCAGCAGACGCTTTCATCCAAAGTGACGCACATCTGAGAGCAGATCCACCACCAGCAAGGATCTGGTGAGGAGAGAACGACCTGGATCAGAGCCATAGACCAGGTTCAGTGTGACATCATAAACGCGTTGCCATACTTTTTAATATAGACGGCTGCATGTAGGAACAGATCAGACATCAGTTTGTCCATGCTTTTATCTATTCACGGATCTTTGATGAGCAGCCTTGAAGCAGTTTGTGTGGCACAAAGCACAGGTGGATGTTGCATTTGTCACAGAAGACCTGTGTTGATATTCCACAACTTTGCATCGTGACACTAAATAATGACGCATTGGCTAAAATCACCCACCACCTGTTATGTAATATATTCAGAATAACTTCAATTATCGTCACTTTGAATTGTTAGAATTATGCTAAATGCAAATTGATTTGGCTGCAATCAGTTTAAATTCCTATTTATGAGGAAAGAAAGGCGCTTCCTCCTATCACGCGTCCGATCCATGCTTGTCTTGTCAGATGTCTGCAGCTCTCAGATCAACTTAGCGGCTATAACGTCATTGTTGTTGGACAATCAGAAATCAATCAGTAACAAAGCATTAGCATTATTCAAATGACAAAATCACAGATTTTTATTGCATTTAATCATTTCAATTTTCTGGCACACCAGTAACACTGATGCACACACTCCCACCAGTAGGTGGCGCTAATGCACCCAGAGTTGGTTTGCAGATGTAAAGAAGATGCTCAGGATGCACTGAGTGACGTCAGCGCACAAGACAGTTTGGTGAACAGTGATGGAAGACGAGACCACATCGATTGGCTTGTTGGGTGGAAGCAGTTTTCTCCTGCTGCTGTGTGTCCACAGGACGTTAGCCACGTCTGCAGAAAGACTGCGATGTTTCACTACAATGAATGGGAAGCAAGAAGTTGACCTGCGGACACGTAGCATGAGGCAGCTTGGATAAGAGCGCGGCTGTCTGCAAACTGGACAGCAAAGTTTTAAGACAAACAGTCTTAAAATGTTGAATATAATCACAATAGTTGCACTTTGAGTTTGCACTAATCCGTGAACTAAACCGCGTCTCACTACTAGTTTAAAGTCCAGTTTAAATTCCAACAAACCAAACACAGATAGAGCGAGTCCTGATAACTTTGATGAATCAAAGAGCTGCTTTAAATCAGCCTTTTTAGACCTGCTGTAATCACAACGGTGTGAACACTTTAATCCTTTCAGACCTTTAAATCACACACGCAGCAAAACTGTCAGCCTCCACTTCCCAGCAGGCGTTCAGTAGAACTCCCAGAAATGTTGAGTTTTGTGTTGTGGAGGTTTTAGTCTTTGTCCTGCTGAGTGTTGGTGTTTGTTATAGATGTCATCCTGTCGTTTCTCCGGCGTTAACAAACGAGTAAATGATTGGTGTGAACAGCTCATCGGTCAGATCGGCGAGCGTTCATGAACGAATCGTCAACTGTATGTTTTATCTGAACAGAAACAGAATGAAAGCATCACTGTTAAATATTTACATGTTTCAGTGAATAACGACTTTCTGGTACGCAATAATTATTTTAATTGTGTTTAAAAATTGCAGCTTCTCTTCACATCTGCATGTTTATTTCTGTGGTTAAGAACAAGCTGGTGGACTCAGCTGTTTCCTGTCAGCGGGGTTCCTCCTGTCGACCTCTGACTCCGACACTGAGTGAAATTTCCACAGACTAAGTTCATTTCACTTTATGTATTCATTTGAGCAGCAAGATCAACAGCAGAGAGGAAGAAAAAAATGTATGTTCACAGAACTAGACTTTTGACCATTTAAAATGACTTTTAGAAAAACTTTCCGTTAGTTTGTGCCGGTGCACAGAAGATAAGGAGCAAATAATACATTCAAATGAAAGCATCATTTTATCCACCAAAGGACAGAAGACAAAGGAAATAATGGAGACAATGGAGGGAATAACAGTGCACAAGCTGAATAAATATCTAAAAATAATGAGGTGAAAACGGGAAACACATTTCTGACAAATGAAGAATTACTGAACCTGCTCAGTGTTCCTTATTGATTATTGATTAGAAGATCTGAAACAGTCTGTCGCCCCCTCCCAGATAAACTCTGACTGCAGGACGTCTGTCAGCTGATAAACTCCATCCTGTCTCCACGGAAACACATCCTGATTTATGGTTTCCATTATGTTCCTGCACAGCTGACAGCTCGTCATCATGTCTTTATCAATTTGCTTTTGTTTCTGAGACAAAGAGTTTGTGGTGAGTGAAGGTCGGGTGACTGTTTTTATCAAGCAGCTAAAAATATGATTTCATGAAGAAGAAATCATGTCAGAAAGAACTGAGCAAAAAAACAGACAGATGAAGAATGAGAAAACAGAAAACGCGATCAGGAGGTCGAGCAGTACATCCTGCTTCACGTCTCCGACATGAAAACATCACAACAACCTGCATGACCAGCACACAAACAAATCACAAATATTCAACAGCAAAAGAAAAGCGGTAGTCACAGCAGCAACGTGACTTAAAGGGGGGCAGCGTTGTCGGGATAACGGGCCGTCACGATGTTTGTATTAAGCCTGTGAGACTCGTATTATCACAGGACGTCGGCGTTTGGCGAAATGTGGGAGGAACTTTGACTTTACAAATTACAGACATGGTGCATTTGCACGGGATTAAAATCACAGACATCCTCCACAACTATTACAAGTCACCATTGGTCACGAGGTAAAACTAATCCCATGCAAATAGGGCTTTAGAGGGTTAATGTAGAGTCAGAGGGTAGATGTAGAGTCAGAGGGTAGATGTAGAGTTAGAGGGTAGATGTAGNCCCAGCTCCACAGCATCAGATCCCATGGTGATCTATCTCTGTAGCATCAGTTACCATGGAGACCCAGCTCCACACCATCAGTTACCATGGAGACCTAGCTGGTTAAAAGAAGGACACCTTCATGACACTGAAAACGCTGACTTTAGGGTCAGCATACTGGCCGACTCATTAATATCACGTCTATTTTTACCCTCTGATCTGTTGTTTTTGTTGTCGTTTGTTGTTGTTCTTATGGTTTGTTTAAAAGTTCTGTGGTTTTGTCCAATTTTTTAAAGAAATTGCTGAACTATACTCACGATAAAGTCACTTGTGTTCGGGCTTAGTTTTGCTCAGGTTTAGACCAATATCTATATATCTGATGGACACTGAATGAATCTTTAAATCTCTTCCACTGGATGTTCAGGAAAGACACAATGCTTTTAGCCCAGTGTTGAACATGTCAGCAGAACCGTCCTGTTTGGACCAACCTGCCTCCAGTCTGAGATTGTTTTTTTTTTTTAATACTCTGATCAGTGAAAGGTTAAATAGAGCCACATGTTTATGTTGTTCATAAATGTGAACGAACAGTGAATGAAGACTCAGAAAGAATCCAACATGGCTGCTTTGTGTTCTTGAGTGTGGCTCTGTGTTTGTGTGTCTCACCTGAGGCGTCGACTCTGGAATGCACCTCTGTGTTTAATACAAAACTCCGTCATAAAAGTGCAAACAGTGGTTATAGTGAGTGATGGAGTGTGGGTGGTCTGCTCTGCATCCGGCAGGGCGGAGCTTCAGGGGTCCACACATGATTTATGTGATCTGATAACGAGTGTTTCCACTGCAGAACCCTGTTTTTACTCTGTTGTTCTTATTAGGAAAAACATTTGGTATCAGAGTTATTCAGGTGTGGACTCGTCCACATTGTGCTCTTTGGAAACACGCTGAGCTACCTTCACTATTAACAGAATGTTTAGGACGCAGAACCGGTTCTGATCACATGACACTCAGAGTTCGAACTCTGTTGGTTTATTTTAAGAAGCGTAGATATGAAGCGTCCTTGAACCTCCGGAGGTCTACAGGATGTTTTCGGCTCTGAGTCTTCAGACGGTTTTCACAGTTCAGTGACATCAAAGCCACATTTCAGGAGTTTCTTTATACATCGTTAGGAAACATGCTGATGACCTGAACCGAAGAATTAACCCAGTGGACTCAGTTACAGGAGCAGAAATGTCCACTGAGGATCAACAGCACATTTTCTGGCAGAATAAATCAATGAGGACTTTAAACATGAGCTGCAGTGAAAATAAAGAGCTCAGAGAAAAAAGAAGTCCTGTGAGTGGAATTCGACAAGTCCTGAGAACAAACATGTGTTTAAAACCATCGTACAAACTGAATATATGACGGATGTTCATCATCAGCAAACATCATGATCCAACCAGAGACCACAGACCAGGATTCAATCTGCAGAACATCTGAATGTCAATAAAGACTCGTGGGCTACCAAAACTTTTCTGTAAATCTCAGAAGAAATAATGTTTAAAACATTTTCTGTACAAGTCATGACTTCATCCTGAAACCTGCTCCTGCCTCTAAAAAGTCTGAAGGCTGCCATGAAAGCAAAGCGTTCAGCTGAGTTTTGGTTCTGAAGCATGTTCAGGATTTTAAACACAAACCTTCAGCTTAAATGAAGCCACTTTGACGTCATTCAGCTGAGGAACAGAACTTTGTGAGGTTCTGTCGTTGTGACTTTAATTTACTGAACTCAGATGTTCAGCTGAAGCTTCTAAAGAGTCTCTTCTTGGTTCACTTTGAGAAGATTACTTCTGGAGTCAGATTCCTTTTATTCCCACTTTGTCAACAGAACCGGTTCTGGTTCTAAAAGTGGCTCAAATGATAAGAACTGGTGTTTTATCAGGTTCTAAAGAAATGAGCCAAACCTGTCGTTTACCTAAAGTTTAAATGATGTGATCACACTTCAGGTTCTGGGTTCTGTTCAGGGAACCCAGAAGAATCCACCACACAGGAGGACTACAATCATGAGATCCAGCTGGGTCAGAAACAGAACCGGACTGAAGTGAAAGAACTCACAATATTACAGTAAACTGTGCGGACTGCTCCTTTACACAAGTCTGTTTTCATCACTCCGGTTCGGTCCCGGTTCAGGTGTGGCCGCGGAGCTCCGGTTTCTGCCCGGGAGGGGCGGGGACAGTTCGGGGGCGGTGATGAAGAGGAGGAGCAGCTGGTCTCGGTTCAGTCTGTCGCAACGTTTTCTTCTCTTTGTTTCACACGAATAGTTCTGATGGACCCGCAGGGATCCCGTCGAACCGGAGTGCAGCGGGACTAAGGGCGGATTAAACCGGCGGAGCAGCGCTGTGGGACGGATCGGAACCGACCGACGGTCGCTGTTTGGATCGGAACCCGGATCATGGTTCGGTAGGACGGACCGACTCTGGAAACTTTCTCTGGTGTCTCCATGGAGACGGAAGTTTTTCCCGCCAGCTGAGGAGTTGATCGGTCTCTGATCAAGAATCGATACTTGTTATTGATCGTGTATTGATCGGCGGGATGGCCGCGCTCCCGCTGCTGCTGCTCGTGCTCTGGACCTGCGGACACGCCAAGAGCGCGTTCCCGCTGCGACCTTCCTACAGCCTGTACACCGGCGGGCACGCGCACGGCACGCGTGCGGCAAGCAGACACAGGTAAGATGACACGTGCACGGAAAGGATGATGATGATGATGATGATGATGATGATGATGATGA